AAACTTTCGCTTCATTTCGGCATCTCTTGCGATGATAACTTGCTTGTTAGCTTTATAGCATTTCAAAACACTGGTGGTATACGTGGCATGTTCATAAATGAAGTTATGGGTGGCGCAGAGTTCATGCGCTCTTTCTTTTCACAACAGAAATAAGGCGACAGAAATTGTACTCCTTCGGTTGTGACATTTTCCCGCAATACATGCTGAAATAACAGTTACCGTATCATGAAATTAGGTCAGAGCACAAGCTTCGGTAAAGCGGGCATTCACTCTTTTCGCTCCGAGTGTTGGTGCTACATAGCTGACGCAATGAAGACAGTACAGTGTGCACGATGAAAAACAATGCCATGTGACTACACCTGAAATTGTCTGCACAGTTTGCACTTGCGTAGCCCACGTGATAAGCAAATCTAAAAATTCTAAATGAAAATTGGACAGATTCCACGCATACCTTTGGAATCGATGCTATGCGAAGCATGTGAAGGGAAGGTGACCATGTTGTATTTTTTTGTTATTGAGAAACAGGTCATAAAATGACGCTAAACATGTGTATAAACGTTGCACGGAGAGACATATATTCAACAGTAGCAGATGTTTATATAACCTGTTATTTGCACTTGTGCAACGATGCAAACTGGAACATGCATATTAGCAAAACCAGAAGCTGATATGAAGCGCTGATGCGCATGAGGATGCTGGTCCAGGACACTGCTACGTAAATGAACTTCAGCGCATCACACCGAACTACAATTGACGTTAACTTGATTGATATGTGGGGTTTAACGTCCCAAAACCACCATATGATTATGAGAGACGCCGTAGTGGAGGGCTCCGGAAATTTTGACCACCTGGGGTTCTTTAACGTGCGCCCAAATCTGAGCACACGGGCCTACAACGTTTCCGCCTCCATCGGAAACGCAGCCGCCGCAGCCGGGAATCGAACCCGCACCCTGCGGGTCAGCAGCCGAGTACCTTAGCCACTAGACCACTGCGGCGGGGCGATTGACGTTAACTTGACGTGACGGCTGTATCAAAGGAGTATATATGTAATGTTTATGAAATTGCATCACTGCAACCACAATGGTCTTTTCACAAATAATATGGTCTATTTGAAATGCACTTCCGAGGTCTGGCGTGGCTCTATAGTGGAATAGTTGAATGCAACGCAGAATGCATGGGTTCGAATCCTGCTGGGACCCTGACATTCATTCTTTGCATTCGTAGGGTCGACGCTACCAATTGCTGGTTTTTCTTAATGCTCAGGCGTTGAAGTTAACCCCCTTGTATTCTCGCCGTTTCTGCGTAAATGCAAAGTGTTAATCACCTGCGGCGCATACCCGTATACTAGTGGCACATACCCGCCTGTAGGTATGTGCCACTGTTTAGTGGAAATCGTTTGACGTTGTACGCGACAAGATTGTGGCTTTATTCAAGTATCGACCTGAGCGCTAAATTCGCTATACTAACTTACCCTGCCATACTAATTTTGGTTCACGCCAAGTTAAAGAGGTGATCACGAGCGCACCCAGACGTAAGCGGCTAGATAGATAGATAGATACCCAGATAGACACCAAAAATGCTTACAGTACGCAAATAAATGTTTCGAATCAAGAAAATAGGGGTTCCTACGTGGGAAGCAAGGGATCTATTATCGCACATACAGGAAGAAAGGCTGCAAGAAATTGAGGGGATCTGGTCATGGTAGGCTTCCTCTGGGACCACAGCCTGTTACCCTATTGCTTCCAGAAATGCAGGGCTCTCGTTGGGTGCGGCAGCTTTCCACGTGTTTTCACCACCTAAACGTCTGCGAAGGCTTGAAGAGAGAAGTGATTCTGATACTACCACATGAAGTAGTTAAGATCCGCTCTCCGGGCAGAACGAAACTTGGAGTTGTCCAGAAGTTCTACACAAACGAATAAAAATTTCGAATCGGGAAGAGAATGATGACATGAACAGAGCTTAGATGATGAATTAAATAGCCGTTGCAGTACCATCATATTCGCGACGATCGACTTGACTGCCTTAATTACGTATGTCATAAATAAAGCACTCAATTACTACAGTATAGAAAGAAGCGAAGCCTGGAAAATGTGCCAGTGTGAGAAGATGATAAGGAATGGGGGAAAGGCATAGCAGTCACATCTACTGTTTGCCATTTAGAAATAACAGTACATGTGAGAGCTGATATATCACAATATTCACAATACGCAGTGTAAAAAATTGACTCAGAGTATATTGCGCGGCATGCCACATTCTTTCCTTTGCTAGATGGTTTTCGTCATAGAGTTTCTCAAAATGATACCTAGAGGAAAGTGTGGTGCCACCGTCTATGCAAACTTCTCAAGGGACCCCGTTGGAGCGCTGGCAGTGGCGGTATATGCCTCTGTGAGGCTTGCGTTGGCTGGCGTTGAGCGAGGCTTCGGCTGCGAAAGCGAACACGAGTGCGTGAATAAAGCTTCTCTTAAACAAAACCTTTATAATTGAATCTCATTCACGCGTATTATATTCTAGAATAAAAGTTCACTTACCTTGACGGCACAACCAAACGGCGAAATAAAGTAACAGACGACATAAAAATAGCGGAGTGAACGCTCGGTTTGTCATCTGCCTGCCAAGTTTAGCGGCCGTTGGGTACTTCTAACGCTTCGTAAAATTGTATATCGACGCAGAAAGTTCAAGTGTTATATGAAACACGTTTTTGTGTTGTGGCGAAAATAAAAAGCTCTTTACGTGCTTTTTAGTAAATAATCAATCAATTAAACGTAAAACCCACGTGTCTTTGAGGTGGACAAATCCGAGTCAGGTTCGAAGCTCACATATCCCGTCATTCCTTTGCATCCAACAGCTCACTATCGCCAGATTTCCCTCTAGGTAAATTTGTGAGAAACTCTATGATTTTCGCCGTGCGCTTCGCCACAATTCCTCATCAAATAATTGTAATGACGTCATGAGTTTATAAAAGAATGCACAGGTCACGACGAGTATGGCGTGACTTACCTGTGGCTAAATTTATGCCTTGATACCGGCATTATTCACAAGCATGAATTCAAGTATTCAACCAAAGAGACATGCCACGGCTTCAGGTTATGTCTTGTGAAAGTGTCATGTCTTGAGCATAAATGTCTTGTGCAAGTGCCATGTCGGGACGACACCATCTGTGGTCCCTGCAGTGTGTGCCACCTTCATTGATAACATTATATTAAATATTGACTCCAAAAACTATGTAGTCGAGTGGGGCTCGAGTGCGACGGTGACCATTACTTACGATATGCCCATCATCGAACCATGCGAACCTTGTTGCTATAAAACGGTGATTGCTTCAACGTAAGTTAAGGATTACATATGAATACAAGCTACACCTTACGCTCCGGCGCAGTCGACCTGCCTTACAGGCCCCTCGTTATGACTCCACGACTAAGTTTATGGAAATACGTCCATATATCCTGTAACTTTTCATTAAATTCAAGAAATTTCTTGTAGGACCTGTTACGCAGCCACTTTAGGAACAATGTATGCAACAGTGCACGTCTAAATTCGATGAATGTGCAATTTTGTACGGGTTTAAGAATGAAGACAAGCATCGAAGAATTGAGGCAGGACATATAGATAATAGCACTAGTGCATGCGCAAGCCAACCGTCGATTAACTTTCGTAAATATGAAGTCAGGTATCTTCCACCTTCACCACCACGTGGACCAGATTGATAGGTTCGTACATTTGGGCATGCACAGATAAGTTTTCGAGCCTCCTTTCTTATCCGCCGTTGTGCGCATCTTTAGTTGCCAGTAGGTGCCTTGGGGTGTACAAACCTCCTTCTTGTGTCTGAGTTCGCTCACGCTGTTTTTTAGAATGTTTTCAAACGTGCAGAAAATATAATTATCTATAGGCTACACTCAGAATTTCTCACCGACACCTTCGCATGACATAGGTTCCCACAATGTTCACGATCTCCTGACTTTTTCCGACTTGGGGATACCAATCCCAGACGGCAGCTATCAGCAGTTATCCAAGACTGCCCAGCAATTCCCCAGCGTTACATAAGGCTGGTATTAGCCGAATAAACCGAACATGACAAAATAAAGCTTGCATTTTGTACCATGCAATGTGTATTGTACCATTTTGTACCATGCAATGTGGTGTTGTGTGTATTTTATTTTATAATGATTTATTTGATAGTTGGGGCGTCGTACGCGTCACGAACATATAGATTGTGCTTGCTCAGTTTTATTCCGGAAAACTATTATGATGATCGAGAACTGTGCCTTAAACGACAATTTTTATGCCACGGAACACTTGCCTTCGACGTATATACTAATGAGCTTAACGTTCTGTACGTTTGTAACGGGTGAATCAGTGCCTATTATTTGGCTCTCTAGCGCAACCTTCGTAGCAAAACTATTCACAAACGTGAAAAAAAGGCAGAACTATCGGACCGCATTTACCATTGAAGTTTCATGTTAACCGCTCTGCTGTACGCATTTATGCATGCATTGTGCCGTGTATTTAAAGCACGAAACTGAAATCACCTTAAAATGACTACCGATTTGTGGCTCCTATTCAGCGAAGTTCGTGAAGAATATTATTGCGATCAGCAATGTAATCGATCTTGTAAGCACTCGCTGAAAGCGCTTACGGCTAATTCAACCTATAGCACAGGGCGTTCGGCGAAGTATTCCACAGCGCATTATCGTCGTCTAGTCCTCGTTTCCAACTCGGCTTGATTGCGCGAGATAACTGCTCGCAAACTTTCTGAGATCTAAGACACCCTCCTCGCACTTGGTCGTGGTCTTATATAGGCGAATTCGATTAGTCAAGGGACGCGGAGCTTAGAAGTTTAGATGTTCTTTCGAGCGCATATACTTTAATTAGGACAATTAGAGGACGTAGCGCGAGATTCCTATGCTGGTGATATTGCTGGTAATATTCTGTCGCAGTGCTTCTTTTTGGTTTCAGAGACAGCGTGTGCTAAACTTTCGCCTGCTTCTCTTGTCTCGTTTCAGATTTTTAATGGTTTTCACGTGTCTGGTGCTAAGTGTTTTTTCAACAATCAAAGACTTCGAAGAATTAGCCGGTGCCATACTGCTGCGAATGGTAAGTGCCTTTCGCTGTATACTATTACGGAGAGCGCACTTTCCTGCGCTTAGCAGAAAGATGAATTTTCTAACTTAAATGCATGTGAATATGTCAAAAAATCGGAGAGTCAAGCCTTTTTATCCATTCTGTTTGTTTATTATCATACAGCAATTCTTCTACATGAATTGTGGAAACTTCATTACAAAATAATTAAAAAACGCAAATAGTGTTTGTAAAAAATTTCCACCAAGGACATATATAGAAATAGTAAACATTAAAAAAAGATAACCCACCAGTGCTACTTTTTGTACGAGCTAGAATAAGCACCACACTTCGTAGAAAATATGGCGTCTTAGCACATTTACGCAGTGATCGTGATTTGGTGTCGCCACGCTCACAGCCTGTTTGTTCCGCTGTTCAATGGTGCCGGAAAAGAAACCCCTTGTTTTTTCGTTCGACGAAAAATTGTCATATTTGTCTGTTATTTTCATGTCTTTTTGATGCTCTAATCGAGTTTATTGAAACGTGACTGGAAAAGGCGCAGTTATTTTCATAACTGTAATTGAAACATCAACACACAGATCATGTACGGCGGTCATGCATTGTGACTCAAACCGAGCATGTTTTTCGGCGTGGTAACGCTAGTGTTAATCTGATGTGAGTTGGTTACAAATTGTCTGAAGTATATTGGTTAGCTGCAAACGTACGAGTGGCTGGCTAAAACTTAACATTTGTACTTCGAAAATCGGCGTGAGCACGGAGACGCAAGACGACAAGTGCAGCGGTCGTACTGTGTCTTTCTGGTCTAGTGTACGTCTCCGTCGTATTCGCGCTGATTTACCAAGAATGCATCGTCTGAAACGCGCCTACTTTTCTATCCTAGTGGAAAAAGTTAAGCTCCAGGTCGGCTTATTCTAGGTGTTGAGAAGATGCCCACTTAACTTGGTCTTAACCAAAACAGATAAAAGAGGGCCTAGGTGCACAACAGACATGGGGACTGATTGCTTGTCAAAAGAATCACATAACATGCTTGTTACGTTGGTTTTTAGAATCGTCACTTCGTCATGTGCGTTGCATTGTAGCATACCACGACAAAGAAATGCTCTATCACAAAGCCACGCAAGGCCTCGTATATACTTTTTCTAATAGATTTTAATGTTGGTGTACCGTCTTTTGTGATTGCAGTATCGGCTATCCAATTTTATACTAAAACATTACATATCTACGACTATGATACAGTCGTCTTGTCGGGTGAATGTAAATTGTAGTTAGGCGCCATCCATTGAAGTTGATTGGTGTAGAAGTGCTGAGGGCTACCATTCTCTTGAGTACCACAAGAAACACCAGCAACTTCATATAAGGTTCCTACTTTTGGTGTTGCTGATGACATCCTTCCGCAACTGCAAACATGCTATTATAAAACATACGCGGCTGTTTAACTTGTGTGTGTGTGCGCGCGCGTGGATTTGTACATATATTTAGCGCCACTTGATAGCATCTCGCTCAATAATAAAAAATATAAAAAACATTCACATTCCATCCACATGCTTCGCATAACTTCGATTTCCAAAGTACGTTGGGTATGCGTTTTGTTTATTCTCGTTTATCAGCTGGTGTGATCGCACTGCGCAAATAAATGCTAAGCGCTGTCCAGCAATGTTGAACAAGCTCAGTCAAAGAACGCGTTGCATGATTATTGTTACATAAATATGTTACATCATGTAGAAAAACAATCACAGCATGAACAGAAAAATCACTGTTTGATTCCATCTTTCTTCTACTCTCTACTGCGTCTGCTGAGAGCCGCAGTGTGGCAGTGACGCCTTGTACAGCAGATACCTTGAGCAACTTTTCCCATTTCCTGCCCGCTTCGCTAACGAAAGTTTGTCGCTTCGCAATCCCCGCATCGCACTTGTACATCATTCTGCACTGATCGTCCGCAGGTGAGCGGTATTCGTAGGATTCATGAACTCGTTTTTGAGATATGGCGGGGCCTAAAAAGGGTTTACGTAGCCACTGGGCACTAACTTTTGTGAACAAGTGCTGGTCGACACACGCTAGACTAGCTAGGGCCTCTCTGTATTTTACTTTCCTAGCGCCTACGTTACCACACTTTGACAGCGCGGCTTCGCCGGCACTTTCGAGAAAGGGTAACAAGTTGAACGAATGCATTTTTCTGTAAGGCGTATACTCCTCCCCGTCTGAACGTGGGATGAGATCACCTAAGGTTGGAGAGGCCTTAGCTAGTCTAGAGAGTGTTGGCCTGATACACCTTGAAGAATAAAGTGAATAGATCCATTGTACGCCATCTTTTCTTCTTTCACACTCCCCATTGCTGTTAGAAGTTTTTTATTAAACAAATTCTATGATTTGGTATGCAGTCATGTACTTATTTTACACGGTAGCATAGAAGTAGCGAGGCAACATTTTCGCATCAAGTGTAACTGTAACAAGTTGCTTTTGGAAACTCGGTCTCTATACCTGCAAGGCGTTTTTAGGTTATACCTGCACCATACCTACAATTACCTTTAGGCTAAGGCGGCTGTAACTGTAACACTGTTATTTTTACTGGTAGAATGCCCGTAACTTCAGATAGTCCAGCGGCTGTGCATTGGGAGTAGATTGACACGCTACGCCACATATATAATTAGTATGCTCCTTTCTAGGTCACACTATTCTGAACGGGAAGTTGCGCAACCATTCTTCAAATTTCATACAATAAGAAGAAATTTTTATTGATTATAACGTTAATGAATATAACAGTGACAAATGAGGTGGACAGCAGTCATCATGGACCAAGGCTTCCAGTGCATCTCTAAAAAAAGCTTCTTTTGATTGGTAGCAACGAGTGGCGTCACAAAGAGAGGGAAATGGGAAAGGGAACGTTTGCTATGGTCGTCATCTCTGATTCTCAATTTTGAAGACATCTGTTGCAGTATACCACTATGGATGAATATTTTTCAATTCACATCAGCATTGAATATTACTCACAGTAGAGCTGAAAATGGCAGGAAAAATATCACGAAGCCGCTTAAAAAAATATGAACAGCAGTAGTAAAATCATGCGCATAATCCTTTTATGGTGTAATAAAACGTTATTGAACGATTTGGAAACCCTGGCACTGTTTATTTTTGCTTTTTCGGAGCACAATCCACGTAATTATTCGCAAGGTAACGCAAGGTCAGGAAAGCTGTGGATTTTCATGGCGCATACACAGTATCATTTAGGTTCATGTAGATTCTTGTTGCCTAATTTTGCTTTCGCTTTCCTCGCCGGAACAAAAACGTAGCAATATTGTGCGTAAACAGGGAATGCAATCGATAAAATGATCATAGAAATTAAAATGCGGTAAAGTGAAAACAAACCGAGCAAGGATATCTCATCTAAAACATGAACGCTGAATACTTATTTGAAGGACGCCATTATGTGAAGGACGCCATCGCAAAAATGTTAAAGCCTTTTTTGCGATGTAGTAAGGAACCGAAAAAAATGGTGCAACGAAAGCAGCTTCTTTGCCTGTTGTCCGAACAGAACTAGCGTATCCATTTATGACCTCAGGTACTGCAGTAACTAGCCAGGTCATCCACCGCTCTACCACGACGTTAACTTAAACTTCAGCTGCTTTTATATGGAAGTTAAACACTATGGCTAACTTAGATGCATCTTCTTATAGTCCCCACAGTTGACGACCTATACTTCTGTGTTATGCAGTATTTTAAGGAGGAAGGAAGGAGGAAGAAAGTTTAAGCGGAAAGACAGGGAGGTTAGCCAATTCTTAGACCGGCTGGCTACCCTGTGCTGGGGAAAGGGGTGAGGGGAATGAAAGATGTTAAAAAGAAATGTTGCGAAGAGAGAGAGAAATTACAAAAAAATTGTGACAAAGGAAAGGCAACATCAAAGAGTATAAGACACTAAAGTCTGTCTCTGAGGCCAGTTGTCCGCAAAAAGCGCAGCAAAGCTTTCAAAGCCTTCTGGGCTGAGGATGGGCTCGGCCAATGACCCAGAATCCTTTGTTCCGACAAAGGCCGATTGTCTAGTCTATCCAGAGCTGCAGTGAGTTCTTGTCTTTGCACGTTGAAATAGGTGCTCTCACACAGAAGGTGTGCGATGGTTTCTTCGCAACTGCAGTAAGTGCATGTAGGAGAGCTGGCCATCCCGATGAGATAAGAGTATGCGTTCGTGAAGGCCACTCCAAGCCACAGGCGGCATAAAAGAGTCTCCTCAGCTCGAGATATCCTTGGGGGAAGACGAAGCTGCAGATCGGGATCCAAGTTATGCAGGCGCGCGTTTGTGAAGTCTGTCGAGTTCCACTGTACCAGTGTTAGGTCACGTGCAAGCGAACGAAGTCTTGTAGCTGCGTCGGTTCTTGAGAACGGGATGGCTGTGTATTGGGTACCATCGTGTGCAGATCTAGCGGCCTCATCTGCACGGTCATTGCCATATATACCGCAATGACCTGGTATCCACTGATACACTATGCTGTGCTGTTTTTCGGTTGCTTGCTGATGAAGAAGCCTTATTTCAGCTACTAACTGTTCATTAGGTCCATGGCGAAAGGGTTATATAAGACATTGAAGAGATGCCTTCGAGTCCGAGAAGATCGACCAAATTCCCGAAGGTTCTTTCAATATAAACTCCAGAGCTGCACGAATGACTGCAAGTTCTGCAGCTGTCGACGACGTCAAATGCGATGTCATGAATTTAATTGTGATGTGCCTCGCGGGAATAACCACCGCCCCTGCAGAGCTTACTGAAGACACCGAGCCATCCGTGTAAATGTGAAGGCGTCCGTTGTGCTTCTCTTGCAGGAAAAGTAATGTGGCCTGTTTCAGGGCGAGATGCGACGACTTTTTCTTATTTTGGATGCCAGGAATTGTAAGAAGGGCTTTGAGTGGGGGTAGGCACCATAATGGTATCGGCGGCTGTGCTGCATGCGTGAAGTGCATTGAAAGCACTGCGCAATGCTGAGCTACAGTTGCGCTGAACGCTGAGTGGGGCCTGGAAGTTCGAAGTGAGG